CGAGTCAGCTGGGGATGGTAGCAAATCTTCCTGTAGTTTCCGTTGTGATGGATTACTGCTTCAATTAGAGTGGTATTTAATTTGTCCATGTGCCCCGAGACTTTTAAATATCATGCTCACTTAATTGCTGGGAATCAATTTGGACTCCACTATATTCCATGAACTCAGGAAGTCCCATGGAGCCCGTGACTCCATTAACAGGGATCAAAGTGCAACAATTAAAATGCTATAAGTTTTGCAGCTTTACAACCTTAATTTCATTCTTTTAAAAAATTCTTTTTATCTAAAGGTGTTGGGAAGATCCTCCCAGGATGGGAGATGCATGCTGAAAGTAGACTATAGACCAAACATGATTGCCACTCAATATAAACCACAGCTCCCAAAAGGAGAGAGAGAACAAAAAGGAATGCCCTGCCGCAGAGTCAGGGTGGGGTGGGGAGGATGGGGGGTAGGAGGGATACTGGGATCAGTGGTGGTGGAAAATGGGCACTGGTAGAGGGATGGGTACTCAATCATTGTACAATTGAAACCCAAGCACAAAAATTTGTAAGTCTACAGCTGTACCTCATGGCGTTTCACTAATAAAAATTTAAAAAAATCAAACTCGTTATGAAAAAAACATTCTATTTATCTTTTTTGTTAAAGCACCATGGTTCATAAAGTTATTCATAGTCGAGTTTTAGATGTAATATTGCAGCACTGTTTCCACCACCATTGTCAGCTTCCCTCCAGTGATGTTCCCAGGTTCCCTCCCATATCACACCACCCCCACAATTCCCTCCAGCCTGCCCTCTTTACAGGCACCTTTCTAAGTTCAGTTGTTAAAGTTTGGGTCTCTTGATTTTACTGTTGTTGACTTTGTGAACATTAATTTGGCTCTATCATTAATTTCATTCTTTAAAAAAATCAGTCTTGGGGCTGGAGAAGAATAGTACAGGGTTTAAGCTGCTTCCCTTGCATGTGGCCAGCCCAGACTTGATCTCCAGCACCACATATGATCCCCAAGCACTACTAGGAGTGATCCCTGATCCCAGATCTAGCCTCTGAATACCACTGGATGTGACCCCACCTGCCAAAATCATAAAAATCCATCTAAGGGCAAGAGAGGTAGCTCAAAGTGGAGGAGAACATGCCTGGCCCTGGTGGCCCTGAGCTCTGCCTGGTGGGACCCTAATACTACTACTAGTAGTGATAATTTAAAAACTCTTCTGTTTTTAGCTTCTATTTTAAGGGGTAAAGCCTGCCCAGTAATAAGGGCTGTTGGTGCTCCAGTAATGACAACCTTAGTAGTAGGGGCGCAGCACTGATATGGTACTAGGGAATGGCATGAAGCCACACTTGACATTGCTTAGGGGCCATGAAGGGCCTCACACATGCTCTGAGAATGTGCTGTGTCTCTTCTCCAGAGCAGGTCTATGCCCAGACTCTGTCCAATGTCATCATGTTATGGTGTGCCAAGAATGTGTGAGTATGGGTGTTTTTAGGGTTTTGGACTACACCCAGTGATGCTTTGGGGAATACTCCTGGCTTTGTCCTGGGTCACTTCCAGCAGTGCTGGGGGTGGGACTGGGGGATACCATGTGGCGCTGGGATCAGACCTGGATCGTCCTGCATGCAAAGCCTTTGCTTTGTCTTTGAACGCACTCCCTGGCCCAGTGGGATATACACCCCTGCACCACACACCATGAATGGCTTATTCGCTCAGGTAGCTTCGAATAAGTTCGGGAATTCAGACTTGAAGTGGAGTATAACCGCAGGCCCCGACTTGTGAACTTTTGGGTTTCCTACAGAAGAGAAGTGAGAGAAGAAATAATTTTACTCTGGGGGAAGTGTGTAATTTAGAAGCTGTCTGCATGTATAAGAAAACAGACTCTGTGGCTGCTCTGTAAACCCAGACTGGCAGCCAAGGCTTATTGTTGCCTTTGCTCCCCTCTGTGTTTGTATTAGAAGGACGGGCCAGTGCTCTGCGCACTCCCCACTGGGCAGCCCCCAGACTGCAGAAGTGGCTTGAAGGAGCAAGCCTCCAGCTCACCCTCCCGCCCATCCCTCCTTGCCCTGACCTGTCACCTCCTAAAGTATGGTCCACCGTGGGAGTGGAATGAGTTTGGAAAGCTCAGATAGTTCTTCCACAGGTGGAATTTGATTCTTTGCACCACCTGGAGAACTTCCGCACCTGACAATGTTGGTGTCCCATTGGCTTCCGTCCTCATGCTCTCCTCTCTCCCCACCCCTGTTCCACCCTGAGTATGCACAGGGGGTCCTGAGCTGGAATCCTGGGCACCAGACATCTTCCTCTGCATCATTCTGTTGGGGCCAGGTGCAACCCAAACAAAGTTAGGGAAAATGAAATCTCACCTCTGCAACATAGATTTCCTTGCTGTTCAGTTTGAGTCAATCTCACACTCTTTGAAAAAAATCTTGTTTAGAAAAAAATGGTAGTAGTATCATGTTAAGTGAAATGAGCCAGAAAGAGAGGGACAGACATAGAAAGATTGCACTCAACTGTGGAATATAAAGAAACAGAATGGGAGACTTACACCCAAGAATAGTCGAGATGAATACCAGGAGGATTGCTCCACGGCTTGGAAGCTGGCCTCACATGCAGGGGGAAAAGGCAGCTCAGATAGAGAAGGGACCACCAAGTATGGGGTGCTTGGAGGACCCACTTGGGATGGGAGATGCATGCTGAAAGTAGACTATAGACTGAATGATGGCAATTCAATACCTCTATTGCAAACCACAATACCCAAAATGAGAGAGAGACAACAAAAGAGAATGCCCTGCCACAGAGTCGGGGTGGGGTATGGGGGATGGGGTGGGTATGGTAGGAGGGATACAGGATCATTAGTGGTGGAGAATGGGCACTGGTGAAGGGATGGGCGCTTGATCACTGTATGCCTGAAACATAAGCACGAAAGTTTGTAAGACTGTAACTGTACCCCACGGTGATTCATTAAAACAAACAAACAAAACAAAAATAGTAGTAGTATTAGCCACCCAGTGGTGGTTATTCGTTGCTCCCAACTCTGTGGTTGGAGGTTATTCCTGATAGTGCTCGGGGAACCATGCAATACTGGATACTGAACCATGCAATGCTATATATGTTGCATGTGTGAAGATTGGGAATATAATTTAGGTGGAAGAGCATGTGTTTTGCATTTGTAATACCTTGAGTTTGATTCCACTTGAACTGGGAGTGGCCCCTATCAAAAAAAAATAGTAGTGGACTGGAGCCAGAGAGATAGTACAGTGGGTCTGGTGTTTGCTTTACATGTGATCAACCTAGTTTCGATCCCCAATATTCCATCTGATCACTGAGCACTTCCAGGAGTTATTTCTGAGTACAGAACCAGGAGTAAGCCCTGAGTATTGCTGGGTGTGGCCCTAAAGCCAACAACAAGAAAAATAGTGGTGGGCAACCATTGTTTCTGTGCCCGGGGATCTGAGCCCCTCCTGCAGTTGGTCCTCTCTGTGAGATTTTCTTCCAGACAGTGTTGCTGTTTGGCTCAGGGCTGCATGGGGCCATTAACCATGGGGTAGTTAACTGTTTGCATTTGAGCCAAATGCCAGCTGGTGGTGTTGGCCACTCTGGAAGACATAGTAGGAGTCCAGTAGCTTTTGGGATCTGCTGTCATGGCAAGGATGACCAACATAAGAACAGTTTCTCTTCAGAAGGTTTGGTTCTATTGAGGATGAGCAGAAAAAAAGTCTAGTGAGGACTACCGTGATTTGTAGACTTTTCGCTAAACATCCAGATGGATCCCAGATAGAATCCAAGAAGAACTGATTTTGTTTGTCTTCCTCCCCCATCTCTCTAAATAATTTTATTTTCAAAGCATGATGCAGGCATTAATTAACACTCCATCTCTCCCAGGAGGTAGGCAAGTGGGAACACCACCCCCATTAGTGAAACCAGGGATTAGGCAGGCACTGGAGTCTCAGAATGAGTCTGAGACCGAAGCCTCAGGTAGGTGATTGAGACCTTGGGGTTTTTCCCTGAGCCCTGGGACTTACCTGGGAGTCACCACACGTTCTCAGTGTCTTTGGAGAGAGGTGTTGGATCCCATGAAATGACTGAGGCTTGAGGAGAATTTTAGGTAAATTGCACCATTGTTAGGAGTTTTGGATGGCAATAATTCTGATTTTGCTGTTGGTTTTATTCATTCACTCAGCACAAACCAGCCTGCCATGGCCTGGGAGTTGCTCAGTGGGCTGAGCACGTGCTTCACATGAGGAGGCCTGTGCTCTATTCCTGGCACTGCACGGGCCCCTGAGCATTTCTGGGAGTGACTCAAAGCACTGAGTCAGATTTGGTCCCCCAGATCAAAACCACAGCAGTAATAACCCTCCCAAATACTGTGCTTAGCACCGACGTCTGGGCAGGGTGCCTGCCATCCCTAAATTCTCCAAAAAAGTCCCAACAAGCCAGCAGTGCCAGTGCCGGCTGGGAAGTATTCCTTGGTGTTCACATGGTGGTCACTCGCAGAGGGTTTGTTGGCGGTGCAGGTAGTGGTTTCAGTGTTGGAGGTCTCGTTGCCTGTGGGACTGAGGAGAAATATTCATGTTCTTGCTGATGGAGTGAGCCTCTGCACATTGAACTTATTCCTTAAGTGGTTCCAGTTGGTTGGTGCAGGAGAGAGAAGTCTCCTTCCTGGGCCTGCGGGGAGCTCATCTTCACACCTGGCAACTCTCTGGGAATGGTTATCTGCCAGTTTGCTGGGCGTTGATTGTGGAACCCTGGGTTGTGATTGATCCTCTAAGTTTAGAAAAGCACCAATATTGTAATTTCCAGTGGCTTTTCCCCATCCATTCAGCATACCTGCAAGAAAAAGCATACTTACCTGTGCTTGCTCTCTCTCTCTCTCTCTCTCTCTCTCTCTCTCTCTCTCTCTCTCTCTCTTTCTCTCTCTCTCCCTCCCCTGCCTCCCACCCCTTGCCACTTTCTTGTTGAAAGCTCTGCTCCATTCACTAATGATGTTCCCCTTGTCTTGGCACTGCAGGCTGCTGAGAACCACCCTCGACCTCAGTGTGAGGGTCCTTCCTCTGAAGATATCGTCAGTGTGTGGAGCCTGCCCCACACTCACCCCCTGCTAAATCACGGCCTTTACCTGTGTCTTCCGGTGTTTCCCGTGCGACCCATCCTGTGGCAGTGCCTCGTGGGCCGCCCCGGAGTTTGCTCCACGGTCAGCGGCACCAATGGTGAAGATGACAAGATCCAAGACTTTCCAGGCATATCTGCCCTCCTGCCACAGAACCTACAGCTGCATTCACTGCAGAGCCCACTTGGCCAATCACGATGAACTCATTTCTAAGGTATCTTTTCCTGCAGACCTTGCCTCTCTCCGCACCCTGGGGGAGGGTGCCTCCCAACCCTAACCTGCTGCCAAGGCTGACAAGTGCTTCCAAAGAGGCCACATGTACTTCCTCTTTTGGAGATGAAGGACAGCTTTGCTGTCTCCCTCCACTAACAGAGAGTGTTACTTGGTTACCTAATGCTTCCTTGGGAAAGTCTGTGTCCTCCCTGGCTGATTGGCTGCTCACAAACCACAGGGGCAGAGACACCAAGGAGTCATCAGAGCCTTTATTTTTTCAGTGTTGGCATCAAACCCAGGGCCTCAACAAGGCCGTCACACTGGTCAGGATTGGACCCTTGAGTTTGGTGTGCTCGGCTTATGTCTCCAAATGAGTGTTCTTGGACTGGGAGTGAGAGGACATCTTAGAGAGACTAGGATGTAACTTGATGGAAGATTTTGAGAACGGGTGGGAGATTATTGTTTGGTTACTAAAATGGGCCTTTGAGATGGAGCAGAGAGCGCTGGTAGAGAGCGAATGTACTGGCCCGTGGGAACTTTCGGGCTTCTACGAGAGCCAGAGTGGCATGACAGCTGATCGTAATCACAAGAAAGAATGGAGCCTGGTTGTCCCTGAGGCGCCTTGGCAGCTGCATTCTAAAACTGGGGCTGTTATTATTAATAAAAGGTGTTCCAGTAGTGTAGCCTAAGAAGCAGCCCCTCAAGCCCTGTTCTCAGCGGAGCTACCCCCTTCATAGCCCAAAATTTCCCAGAGGAGGAGGAGAAACAGGTTTGACTAGCCTACATGAAAAGAAAGACAAGGGCCTCGGATATATAGTTCAGTGGGAGAGCACATGCTTTGCAGGTATGAGATCCTGGCTTCTGTTCCTGGCACCAAAAATCAACAAAAAGACATTTTGTGGGACCTTTCTTTAATAAACATCTTTCCTCAGGACCTGGACTTTAAGTTACTTTAAGAAAAAAGAAAAAACTTTTATTTTGGGGTTGGGGCAGGGCATACCTATTCAAGTGGTGCTGAGGGTGGGGTTGGGGGGAGGAGGTCGCACAGGGGCTGTGGCACGTTCCCACTATTATTACATCAGCCTGGGGTCCTTCAATGCTTGGGCCCAAGGACATTGTTCTGCTCCGGCCTTGTGGTGTTGGGGGCCTCCAGGACTACACTCTGAGCTTCTTGTGTGCAGGGGCTTGAACCTGGGTCAGTAACATGCCAGGCTCCCACCTAGAGAGCATGAGTGAGCATCTTGAGTGGTGCTCAGGGACCCAAGAGACCGTTCTGTGATCCTCATGATCTTGGGGCGTACCCAGGCCATGCCAGTAGTGATCAGGGGCCTCCAGGGTTGAACCCAACAATGCATGGGGGACCCCTGCATGCTAGGGATTGGGCTGGGATCAGTTGTATGAAAGCCATGCTTCTCTATGACCCAGTACTATCTCTCTAGTTATGCAAACCCAGACTAAGTTTGAAGATAAAGGGCCAGAGAGATAATCCTGTGAGTATGGTTCTTGCCTTGCACACAGCTGATCCAGGTTTCATCCTGGGCATCCCATAGGCTTCCCCAAGCTCCACCAGGAGGGACCCCTGAGAGTGGAGCCAGGTGTAAGTCTTGCACCTCACCAGGTTTGCCACCCTCCCCCCAAAAAAAATTTTTTTAAAGGAAAAAAAGTTAGTGTTCCTCATTTGTATCCTAAGAACTCCTAGGAAAGATGGCATCAACTTTCCTTGCCTCTGACTGGGTAATCCCAGCCAAAGAGGAATAAAGAATCAATAGTTTTAGAATGTTCCAGCTGACTGTATTGACTGGAAGTTACAAACCATGTCTTAAAAACCACACGTGTGTTAGAGGGGCTTCTTAAGGCAGGACTAAGCTCTGAACCCTTTAGTTCTGTATCAGGGTCTAGAGTCACCATAGATATGAACTCTGTCATCTGGCTCTCTTACCATTCTCTGTGTTCCTGATGATTGGTCTTCATTACTAACAAGTCCATCTTGCCTCACATTCCTCTTGAAATGTTGGGAACTTGTTGAGTCTGGAAATTAGATGGGGGAAGGAAGAGAGCAGTCAGGCCTCTGCTCTGGAAGGGGGCCGGCATGCTTGGGAAGGAAAATGTGAGCTGTCCTAGTTCTGGGAACCTCCAGAGAACATGGAAGCCAAGACATCATTTTAATATGAGGAGTCAGTACTGTGTATCGTAGCCAATGAGATGTGTTTTTGCACCCTCTATGTATGAAAAACTGCTATTTGGCATTTTATAAATCTTATCTCACTGAAGCCTTTAAGGTAGATTAGAATTCATATTTTATACAGTTGGAGAAGCTCAAAAGTTGTCCAAGAACAAGCCAGAGTCTCAAACAATTATTCTAAATATGTTCAGAAAGGATTTTTGGGAGAGGTGGTATTTGAGCCAGACCTTTCACCAGGGGCAGATTAGATCTGTAGAGATGCTTGTGGCCTTCAAAGTTGGTGTTTTTTTGGAGGAATGGATTGGGCAGTGTTTTGGGCCACACCCAGCGGTGCTGGGGACTACTCCCAGCTTTGTGCTTGGGGGTTACTCCAAATGGTAATGGGAACTAAACTAGGTTCTCTCACATACAGGGGAAACTTCAACTCTGTACTATTTCTGCAGTCCTTGAAGTTGATGTCTGAGTTCACTGGCCTGGTATACGGGACCTTGGGTGATGTGGCAGAGCCCATCTTTTGAGTTTCTTCTCCTGCCAGTTCACTGTGTTGTGTTCATGTCATTCAGAAATAAGAACCATTCTGTGAATATGCAGACAGAATCCCCGAGGTGCCCTCAGCCAAGAGCAGCCCCGCAGCCCCTTTTCTTCACTTTGTTTCATTTCTTTTCCTTTTTTTTTTGTGAAGCATGATAGTTTTTATTGAAACCTATTTAGAAAAGTGAGGGGAGAGAAAGAGAAAGTTATGTGTTTAAGAGAGAACACGAGCTTCTCCAGGGTGGAAGGAGGCAAACAAAAAAACATGGAGACAGGCAAGCGAGATATGAGCTCAAGGCTTGAAGAGTGAGCCTGCGCTCGTTGCTTTGGGAGCTCCTGCACCTCCTTTTCTCTGTGGGAGCATGTCTCTGTGTCTTAAGAACCCGATCCATGCCATGAGCTCAAGTACATGGTTAGATACACAGGTAAATCGAACTTGGGAGAAGTTAAGTGATGAGCAAAAAGGCATTTGTTGGCATTATGTCCTTCCTTGCCTATTTTGAGGGGCAGAAAGACTCATTCACAAGCCTCTGCCAAAGTCAGCACAGGCTTCGGTTTCATTGGCCACCACCCGTGCACAGATGGGGTGCATTAGAATTTGATGATTTAGAGAGTTGGGCTTCAATGCTTGACTGGGGAAAGAGTGAGTGAGCTGTGGCTGGCAGTACACAAAGATTCCTTTATTTCACACTGCGGCCACCCCCGACTGGTGTTAAATAATCTATAGATTCTTATGCAGGTCTGCTTAACGGAAAGATCACTGCTCCAGCCCCCTCCTCGTAAAATGAGCCTTTCTTTTCATTTTGTTTCTCCCTTACATTTAAGAAAGTTCAGCGAGAGAATGTTTCTCCTGTTCTCCCTTCTTGACATAATCTCCTATGTGGTTTCAGAATTCGCCCAGTGGGAGTTAGGAGCTGGGAAGCAGATAACTGGAGCGGCAGTGTAATTAAATGATACTTTGTACTTGTAATAGAGCCTTTCATCTGGAAGCTTGACATTCTGTTGTTTGGTTAAAAAAAGAAGACGAAGAAAAGTGAGTCTGCCTTCATTATGGAGAAGGCAGCACAAAGGTCCAAAGAACTAAATCTCGTAGAATGTGGCTGGGGGTGGAGTGGAGACTTCGGCTGCTTTCTTTCCCGTGTGGACAGAGCTCTGTGGAACTGCGAAGTTGATACTGTTGGAATCTAGATTGATGCAGTGGCGTGAAAAAGCCTGCACTGGTCTTCCCCCTCTCCAGCGTGCTCTCGCCACAGTCTAAGCTGCTGGGACTCAGCCCTCTCACTTCTGAGTCTCAATTTCTAACACAATGAGCAAGATCAGCTTTGTAGCTGGAGTCTGGTGGCTTGTGGCTACTACACTGGCTCCCCCCGTCCCCTCATTTTATGAGGTGAGCTGCACCTTCTTTGAGAGGGGCTGTGACAGCAGTAGGTTTCCCTCATGGGGCCATTATCAAGCTGGATAAGATTGTGGCTATGTGGATGGTTTGAAATCTCAGAGCCCTATGCATATGTAAAGAAACCCCATTGCTTCTCTTGGCCTTATTATCTAGAAAGAAAAAGAAGAGAAAAGTGGGGGGGGGGTTGAGGGGGTGGGGAGGAAGGAATTGCTATTGCCTGATACCAGGAAAATTTAATTTGGCCAGGATAATTCCAATTGAGAACCTGAAGCCTGGGAGTTGGATGTAAGAGTAAAAGCAACAGGACAAACCACAGCAAGTTGCGTGTGATTACAGAAAGGGATGCAGCATTTGCTCTGTTGTACGGTGGCAGGGCTGGGAGCCTTTTGAATTAATGACAGAACTATCTAGGGAATGTGCTGAGGCATCCTGCAGGTTCTTTCATAGGGGGTGTTGTGGTCCAAATGCTGGGGTGTTTGCATGCAGAAGTATTTTGGGTTGGTACAAGGAATTGCTCATACAGTTATTTCTTAATGATGTAAGCGTCAGTATAAAAATATACTTGGGTTATAAAATAATAGTTGTAACTGGAACTGTTAGTTGTCCCAAGTGAGAGCAATCTAAATGCTCATTTTAGTGGATTGTGAAAGCTGGGATCTTCACAAAGTTTGTCTCCAGAAATATATTTGGAATCCTTCCTTCCTTCCTTCCTTCCTTCCTTCCTTCCTTCCTTCCTTCCTTCCTCCCTCCCTTCCTCCCTCCCTCCCTTCCTCCCTCCCTCCCTTCCTACCTTCCCGCCCACCTTTTGGCACTATGGAGCAGGTTATTTAGGTAGAGTAAATTGGGTTAATCTGATAGGAAGCCATTTGGGGAGGATAGTGCTTCATTCTAT